CGCGGCCGTGTCCGCGGAGCAGCCGAGGCTTCGGGCCGAAACCCCCTCGGGGCCGGGCTGGCCGTGCCCTGCTGTGAGCCCCTCGTCGCCAGCACTCCACCGCCTGCACCAGAGAACTTGCTGGTACCCGGTTTAGTCTTGGCATTAATGAATTTCAAAGCGGTGAACGTGTTTGGGAAACAGCTCTAACTAATCAGGAACTTCTTTTTTTTTTTTTTTTTGTCTAATGTTTTGATGCTTAGGATGACTTTGATCAACTGTGATTGGTTGGGGTTTTTTGTGTGTGATATTTTCTTAAATTAGGTTTATCCCTTAAAGTGTCTCTAAACTTGCATTTTAATCTCTTGGCATAGCTTCACTTTTATGGCTTTTTGGAACAGGTAAATAGCATTTAAGTAATGCATGTCTGTATTTTGGGGGGACATAATTGTAGAAACGTCAGCTGAAACCTCATTGTTTGTCTTAATGCCTTATGGCTCTCTTAAGTGTAATAGCCTACAAGTGTGGTCATATTCTGTTATATGGGAGAGATGTAGAAAGATAACTTTATATTTACTGCATTGTCTTTTTGAAACTTTCTTTAATAGTTGATTATGCAACACGGCTACATACATGTTTAGTTTTAAGGCCTCAAGGGATTCTTAAGCTCTTGCAGTTTTTATTTTTTCTGCATTTGAGAGGTGTAGAACGCTAGTCATGGATGTAGTACAACTCTGATGTTTTAAAGTAAGCAGATGTGGGAGTAAGGGACAGAGCCAGAGAATGTGTCATGTAGGGCAATCTAGACCAAGAAAAAGAATGCATGGAAAATATCAGCTCTGTACACACACTGTTTTAAAATAAGCCGTGGCTTCAACTTGAGCAATTTTATGAATGCTTGAACAGAAGAAACTTGCTCATATTTGACTGATAGTGACCTCTGACTGAAGATTTTCCTGCAGGCAGGAAAGGGGCAAAACAGCTCTTTTGCCTCTGAGCTTATTGACATCTCTAATAAGACATGCAGCCTCTCTCTCTCTGTGGAGGCACTTTTCTGTCCTCTGCTGCCTGTTCTCATGAAGCTTTCAAGAACCTAAATGTCTGAAGATCTCTAATCCTGTACTGAGTGTGATTGAAACTGGCCAAGGGTCTCAAGAGGTATTAGTAAGGTCAGATGGACAGAGCACATGCATACATACACACATATGTATGTGTACACCCTTGAAGTGATTGCCTAAGTCTAATTTCCTTAGGAAACCAGGCTGAAAAAAGAGGTGGAGTGGAGGGAAGTCAAACAAGATACTGTTCAGTTGCAGTGCAACAATTGCAAAGAGCACTTATTGGACAGTGTTTGGAGTACTGTACACAATACTGGTTACAGTACAACAGGAAGACTATTACTGCTTTGAAGAGGGTGAGTTCATGTAGAATAATGCAGATAATGCACTGCATCTCGTACCTCTTACTGCTTCTGGAATTGTATTTCAGATTCTAAATCATATACATATCTGTACGTATGCTGTTAGACTTTGGGGACAAAAAAGTCTAAATATTTTTACAGGGGAAGTCACGAGTTCTGCAGGGAAGAGGAGCGAGATGATTTTTTTGAAGGGTAGACTTAAAAGTTACCTAACAGAATCTTCAAGATTGGGAAGCAATAAAATTGTTGGAGATGTATTACTCCTTCTCTGAACGTTTTTCCACTTGCATGCAGTCCAATCAGGCTCTCCAAGTTTTCTTAAAAGATTCTTGTTGTTACTAAAATTTCAGATTCTGCAATATTCAGTTTGTGCTATATCTGACTATTTTTGATTTTTCTTATGATTCTGCATAAAGCACTGAACTGGACTGCAGAAGTCTGCATAGACTTTGTGTGTGTGGTTGTTCCTAATTTTTTTTAAATCTGTAGTTTGGTGCAAAATAATGTGTTGAGGAAACATATCTGCAGTCCTAGATCAATTCTCCAGTGGATTTCTACCATATTTAGGATGCGGCAAGTTGCCAGGCATTCCAGGTTTTTGTGAGATGTCTTATCTTCATGAGAGCATCCCACGGTTGTTCTACAAGCAAGGTCTTTAAAGCTGCAGGTGTGTAGCATGTTTCATCTGTGTCCCTTGAGTCTACTCACAGGTATGAGTATTTTACAGGATGGGGGCTTGTACTTCTGGGAATATTATTGGCATATTGATAATTTTACATAAAATAATGTTTTACCTGCTTTTCTTTGTTTATCTTATTTCTTTACCTTGCTTATCTGATCAGCAAGTTTATCTTGCACTTAAGCGTGACAGACTTTTAAGACTGCATAAAACTCTAAGGAAGAGTATGTGTAGGGAGGATCTGTAGTTGTAGGGAAAAATGGTAATTTTAAGTTTAAATAAAGCTAAAAGTGTTCCTGTTACCTGGGCTAACTGAAAAGTTGATCTTGACCTAACTCTCTTATTCCTGGCTTGTGTGTTCATTGCCTGTAGTCAGGATTTTGTAAACCAAGTACTGATCTTCAGCAGTGAATCCCATGCCTAAAGGTAGGCAGAATTTGATTTTGTAATTAAAATTTAGTTGCTGATGTGGAAAACGGAGTAGTCCCTGGATTTCACCCCCAGGGATTCTCACTCCGCACTGATTAGAGAAGCAAAACTGTCCCTAAAGCAGTGTATAGTTGCAGTGGTACATGATGTCATTCAGTGGCCCCCATCAGGACTGGCACTTTGTAATACTCAGCTTTGCACAAACATACAGAAGCAGCATGTAACTTGCTCTGAAGCACTGCTGTTTTAATTAGGAAGAAAATGGACAGATAAACACAACTGAAAGCCAGGGGAGTGGAAACTGTGGATGTGAGAAGTTAACATTGAAAGAGTATGCATTTATCAAAGTTAGGCGTTTTTGCAAACTGTAGTCGAAAGCATGCAGTTTACATTTGAAATAATTAGCATGCAGTTTACATTTGAAATAATTAATCCTCTGTCCCTTTGACTTCTCAGCTCTGTTGTCCATGTTTGCCTGAAGTCTTGGGGGTACATAGTACTCGCAGGCCTTGAGAAAGGAGGTAAATCCTTCAGAGTTAACTCTCAGGATGCTTGTTCCATGTTTAAGATGCACTGTGGAAGAAATGGTTATGCCCAAGGCATGCAGCTAATGCAGTGGGATAACATAGCTGAGTTGGGTGATGGTCTTCATCACTCCTTGGAGTAGGATGGCTGTTCATTTAAGGTTTTTGGAACAAAGCTGAAGTCTCAAATCACTTCTGTTCATGTCCTTCCTCCTTTTGTTGGCATTTAAGCCGCTCTTATCAGTTGGATCTGGTGAAAACGCCCATCTTCACTCTTTCAAGTTTATTTCTGAATGTACATGACTTAGTGGCTTGATTTTGAAATGGTCATACGGACACGCATCTGCACTAAGGATCTAGTAAATACTTGGCTTAATCACTTTTAAATCTTATATTGTACAGATCATTGCTACCTTTTGTTCAGTTTTAAAATCTTGTATCATAGTCTCATACAAGTAGATGATACGTACCATTCTTGAAGATTGAATTTAGTTTTATATTCATAAAATAAGCATGAGACTGTGTGCGTGTTGTGTGGAGGGGTGAGGGTTTGTAACTTGGAAATGTCTTATGCAGCTTGTTGATCAATGTTAGTCTTCACTATGATTAAAATCATGGGATTTCAAATTGGGGCTCATATGAGGTGAATTCACTAATGCTACTTTAAAAAGTATTACAGTTTCTAGTCATATTTAATACTTTAAAATTAAATGGATTTTTTTTTCGTGTTTTGGAATTTGCACTTTTGCACTGTTATATTCATTTTAAAGGGAAGTAAAGATCATAAGAAAAAAAATTAGAAGGAGAAAGGACTGTTTGGGGTTTTTATGTTTTGTTTTTATACTCCCTCTGCTGGTTGCTTTAATTGCAAGTACCTGTAATCAAACTCTTCTACTAAATCTCTTCTTGCTTTCTGTTTTGTCAGTTTGGCAGC